TGGCTGGCTTGCTTGCTTGCTTGCCCCCTTGCCCCCTTGCTTGCTGGCTGGCTTGCTTGCTGCTTGCTGGTTTGCTGGCTTGGCTGGCTTGGCTGGCTAGCTGGCTGGCTGGCTGGCCTGCCTGCCTGCCTGCTTGCTTGCTGCCTGCCTTGCTCGGTTGCTCGGTTGCTGAGTTGCTTGCTTGCTGCCTTGCCTGGCTTGCTTGCTTGCTGGCTGGCTGGCTTGCTTGCTTGCTTGGCCTGCCTGCCTGCGTGCCTGGCTGGCTTGCTTGCTTCTTACTTACCTGCTGGCTTCATTGTGCACCCCTCGGGAAGGCGGACACACCATCCAACACAGGCACACATGTGGGGAGACAATGGGAGACAAGAGAGGGCAAGACCTCGGGAAGGCGGACACACAACACAGGCCCATGTGGGGAGACAATGGGAGACAAGGGTTGACAAGATCTTGGGGAGGCGGACACACCATCCAACACGGGCACACATGTGGGGAGACAATGGGAGACAAGGGGAGACAAGGCCTCGGAAAGGCGGACACACCATCCAACAAAGGGAAACAAGAGGGGAGACAAGACCTCCGGAAGGCGGACACACCATCCAACAAAAGAAAACAAGAAGGGAGACAATGCGAGACAAGGGAAAACATGGGTGGGGAGGCAGGGGGAAGACAAGGGGAGACAAGGCGAGACAAGACCTTGAAAAGGCGGGCACATCATCCGACACATGCGCACATGTGCCTGACCAATGGCTCCAGTGGCAGTGGCACAGGCAGTGGCAGAGGCTCCAGTGGCAGTGGCACCACTGGTGGCAGATGCTGGAGTGGGACCAAATGCGGTGGTAGAGCCAATGGTTGTAGAGCCACCAGTCCCAGTGGTGGCGAGAGAGCCTGACAGAGCCACCTACGGCACAGGCAGAGGCAGCGCCAGTGCCACCAACGGAGCCAGCTGCGGCACAGGCAGAGGCACCAACGGAGCCAGCTGCGGCACAGGCAGATTGCGGGGAGACAATGTGGAGACAAGACCTCGGGAAGGCGAACACACCTTCCAGCACAGGCACACATGTGGCGAGACAATGGGAGACAAGGGGAGACAAGGGGAGACAAGACCTTGGGAAGGCGGACACACCATCCAACACCAGCACACATGTGGGGAGACAATGGGAGACAAGGGGAGACAATGGGAGGCAAGACCTCGGGAAGGCGGACACACCATCCAACACAGGCACACATGTGGGGAAACAATGGAAGACAATGGTGGACAAGGGGAGACAAGAACACCACCCAACACAGGCACACATGTGGGGAGACAATGGGAGACAAGGGGAGACAAGACCTTGGGAAGGCGGACACACCATCCAACACAGGCACACATGTGGGGAGACAAGCGCACACAAGGGGAGACAAGCGGGGACAAGGGGAGACAAGAACTCGGGAAGGCGGGCACACCATCCAACACAGGCACACCTGTGGGGAGACAATGAGAGACAAGGGGAAACAAGGGGAGACAAGGGGAGACAAGGGGAGACAAGACCTCGGCAAGGCGGACACACCTTCCAACACAAGCACATATGTGGGAAGACAAGGGGAGACAAGACCTCGGGAATGCGGACACACCATCCAACACAAGCAGGCATGTGGGGAGACAATGGGAGACAAGCGGAGACAAGACCTCGGGAAGGCGGACACACCATCCAACACAGGCACACATGCGGGAAGACAATGGGAGACAAGCGGAGACAAGACCTCCAACACAGGCACACATGTGGGGAGTGGGAACAGGATTAGGAAGAAGAGCTTGGAGCTTTCGCACTGGGTTTGGAGGCGCTTTCCGGCTGAAACGCCGGAATACTGCAGTGTGAGAGGTACAAATGCCCCCAATACATCTATATCATTTCTATATCTACATATCACTATAGTATTCCCATGTTATTTCCAAGTCGAACATCTTGGTGACTCACTATCAATTTGGTGGTGACAGAACGGTCATTTTGGAATGACATGTACCGTGAGTTGTACACGCCACCATGCCCCCCCATTCTGGTTGTCTCCAGGACACGTCTCCCCTTGTCTCCCATTGTCTCCCCACATGTGTGCCTGTGTTGGATGGTGCGTCCACCTTCCTGAGGTCTTGTCTCCCCTTGTCTCCCATTGTCTCACCACATGTCTGCCTGTGTTGGATGGTGTGTCCGCCTTCCCGAGGTCTTTTCTCCGTCTCCCATTGTCGCCCCACATGTGTGCCTGTGTTGGATGGTGTGCCTGCCTTCCCGAGGTCTTGTCTCCCCTTGTCTCCCCTAGGGGAGACAAGACCTCGGGAAGGCGGACACACCATCCAACACCAAGGCGGAAACCTTAAGAAAGCATTAAGAACCCATAACAGCACACTGCTTGGGGGAAAACACATATTATGTAGCCAAGCCTGTCTCCAAATCAAAGCTTTCGTTGAATCTCCCAATATTTGTGGGTAATCATCTCTTAGATTCAACCCATTGGTAGATTCCATGTAGCGACCAGAAACCCAAAGTCTTTACCCTGACGCTTCAACCCACCCCAGCCAATTCCTATTTTTGCGAAAAGTCCATCACGACCTGCTATGTACAAAAGCTGACTAAGTAAGTAATGCAGCTTCAAAGTGAGAAGTCGGAACAGCGTCAAAACAAGCCAAAGCAGCTTTGACAGCCGGAAGCAGCTTGCCTGATGCTGCAAGGGCTTGGCTGAAACAGTTACCGCTAAGGCCGAAGCAGCCTCACTTGAGGTCAAAATTTGAAAATACTTCGCAAGCAGGAGCCGAATCTGACGCAGAGCCGAAACAGACCTCCTCGCTGTGTGGACATGCTGAGCCGAAGCACCCGAACAGCCACCGCCCTCCTGAAGCCAATGTCTGACTGCTCCAGAGCCCGCCTTTGTCCCTTGATGCTTGTGGAAGCTTTTTTTCATGTGAATGGGCTTTGTGATTTCATTGTTTGCTCAGGCGCTTGTCAATCCGCTTTGGCTAGTAGAACCGTGCAGTCAACACCCCATGGCGTGACCAACCAAGTTCCCAGCTGGGTGATGACATGAAATACGGAACTGTGAGCCCCATTTCAATCCCAAGACAAGCCACTTGGATCTAAGCCATCTGCCATTGTAAAAGCAGCAATGCTGCTGTCGTGTTTGACAGCTACTGACCCAAATTGCAAACGAGAAATAAAAATAAACCAGCAATAATTTCAAATACCTCTTCAGCTGCCTCGACGAGAAAAATTGAAAGAGCCAATGGAAAGTGAAAGAAATGTACGAATATGTATAAATTTCGAAAAGGAAAGGACAAGGGAAACAAACAACATGTTCCGTAACTGTCTTAGATGTCACAAGTTAGTCTTGCAAAGGGTATTCCAAATCAGTCATTGTTGAAGCAAACAAGATTCTCAAATAGCTTAGCCTCAAAAAACAAAAGCAAAAAAATATCTCAGGCCACCCCCCAAAAAAAATACAAAAATACAGCTAAATCCGCCCACACCGCTTTGGCGGTGAAGGCGTGCTTATTGGGGAGCAACAGCAACACTAAATGCTCAATGACATTTGTTAATATAGCAGTCGCTATATCAGCTTTAGCTGGGGGGGCCAAAAACGGTTTCGCACCGAGACCAGAATACGGTGGTGTTTTCGACATTTTTCGAGGATTTTTGGGTGTCTGAGCGCAAGAGGGTATTGAAATGGAATTTTGGGTCATTTTGGTAGCTTTCCGGCAATGGAAAAACGGCCAAAAATGAAAAAAACATTGTACATATCAAGATTTTGCAGGGTTTTTGGATGCCAGAGCATTGAAAACACTGCAAAAACAATTGTTTTGGACTGACGTTATAGCAAACAACGTGTAAATTACCGTATGCTTGACTGGAAACATTACAAAAACACTGTCAAAAGCAATGTTTTGGAAGGATTTACTGCCTTTATGGCAAAAAACGTGTAAATTACCGTCTGTTTGACTGGAAACATTGGAAAAACACTGTCAAAAACAATGTTTTGGAAGGATTTCTTATATATATGTTGGAGTTGGCTACCGGTATTGGCACATGGAAAAATTGAAGAAAACACTGTAAATAGCGGTATTTTCAACGGTTTGGGAGATAAGGGAATTGGAAGCATTGTCGAACATGATGTTTTCGACCGGTTTTATGGCGACAAAAGTGTAAAGTACCGTGCTTTGAAGGAAACCATTGCAAAAACATGGAAACACATTCAAAGAACACGGGATTTGGGGACTATCTAGGCGTCGTTGTCTAGCTATTTGAAAGTCCGCAGGTTGGAGAGCCTCCAAGGGAGGGAAAAGTGAAAATTCCATAGCTTGGGAAGCTGTCACGGCGGGGAAAAGTGAAAATTCCCTAGCTTGGGAAGCCCCCCACGGGGGGGAAAAGTGAAAATTCCCTAGCTTGGGGAGCCCCCACGGGGGGAAAAGTGAAAATTCCCTAGCTTGGGGAGCCCCCACGGGGGGGGGAAGTGAAAATTCCCTAGCTTGGGGAGCCCCCACGGGGGGGAAAAGTGAAAATTCCCTAGCTTGGGGAGCCCCCACGGGGGGGAAAAGTGAAAATTCCCTAGCTTGGGGAGCCCCCACGGGGGGGAAAAGTGAAAACTCTTAGCTTGGGGAGCCCACACGGGGGAAAACCACCCTTAGCCCCTCTCACGGACCGAAATAAACTTGCGGTGTGGGCGGCCAC